ACAAAATTCGTGGGCGCAATGACTTCTGACATTTCAGATCTTCACGCGAGCCCCCTCGAAACGACAAGGGTGCACAGGAATAGAAGTCATGCCAGAGCGTGACCCGCTTTATTTGCTCCAAAAAAAAAATAATGTGATTTATGTGCCACCCCTGAGGGAGGATTTTATTTAGAAAAGGAAGGTGGGCATTTAATGGAATATCACGTCTCAGTGGCCACACAATGGCTGTTCAGATTCCAAGCCCCGCCCACTCGGTAAATTGATTTAAACGCACGGCGCCGGCGTCTGGTACGAGCGACGCTATTCGTCAGTGTTGCGTTCCACCGCGCAGTTCCGTGCCCGGACTGGGGTAAACCCCTCTTACAGGCGCACAGCAAAAAGGACGCTACTGTTCGTTTCCATAGGCCCTTCTTACACAGAGCGTGCTAAATGGTCTTTCTTTCTTACTTACTTTCCTTCTTAATTCAATTCTTATTCCTAGCATTAATTATCTCTTTTATATTTTATCTTCTTACTTATATATACCGCCACGGTGGTCTAGCGGTTAGAATGCTGGCCTTGTAATCCTGGGGTCTCGGGTTCGATTCCCGGCGGTGCCCGAATTTATAACTTGTGTTGGGCAAGGCCGTGGTCTAGGCAACACGGAGTTTTCCTCCGGGGGCTTCCCCGGTTTCTCCGTGGCATCCCAACAATTACTCCATTCACACACAGAAGAAGGCAATGGCAAACCACTTCTGGATCATTGCCAAGAACGTATATGAACAGGTCCCAGTCCGAGAAAAGGATGGAAGGATCCTGTTCATATGGACCTGTCGTCAGACAGAACACTAAATAATAATATAACTTATATATCACCCTTTCTCCAAGCATTTATACCTTTCGCCCGTATCATAAATATATAATAAAAGTCCGAAATGCACCAAAATCTAAAATGTAACATTCGCTGGAGACAAGAACTGAAGAAAAAATGTAATTAGAAACTTATAAGAAGCTTGTAACAGTTCACACTGTAAAATCCACCGTCCATTATCCTTTGTAAATTCCTCAAGCACGAAGTCGACATTATCGTAAAAAAGTTAGGATATTTCCGCATTGTATAACAATTCTGGAACGTTCGCTAGAATTTAACCTTGGAATTTGTGAAAGGCTGAGAAATTTCGCGGTAGGGGATTCCCCACCCTCTAACATCCGAGCGCAAAACCGCACACAGGTTTTCATTAAAGTGCCAGTTATTGTTGCTAATTTAAATCAAAATTAAGATGACTCCTTAGTATTCCTGTAGAACTTCTGAATACCAGAAGTAATTGAAATCGATTTAACGATTATCGATTTATTACATGCGCTGAAATGCGAACGCGCCTAAACGTAATTCTCATCATGACCTTAAGTTACATTACTTTACAAAAATATGGTATACTTTTTACTAAATAAAGTATGTCCAAAAGCGTGCTGTAGACTTAATGTCTGTAACACGCTGATCATTTTAGAGAACGAGAGCCATGATTCAATATTGAGCTCTTTTGTATCCAATAAAACGAATAACAACAAAAGAACAGAAACATTATTAATTTTTCTCGGACTGGGACCTTTTCATATACGTTCTTGGCAGATGATCCAGGAGTGGTTTGCCATTGCCTTCTTCTGTGTGTGAATGGAGTAATTGTTGGGATGCCACGGAGAAACCGGGGAAGCCCCCGGAGGAAAACTCCGTGTTGCCTAGACCACGGCCTTGCCCAACACAAGTTATAAATTCGGGCACCGCCGGGAATCGAACCCGAGACCCCAGGATTACAAGGCCAACGTTCTAACCGCTAGACCACCGTGGCCATCATTTATTTATTTAGTGTTCTGTCTGACGACAGGTCCATATGAACAGGCTCCTTCCATCCTTTTCTCCGACTGGGACCTGTTCATATACGTTCTTGGCAGATGATCCAGAAGTGGTTTGTCATTACCTTCTTCTGTGTGTGAATGGAGTAATTGTTGGGATGCCACGGAGAAACCGGGGAAGCCCCCGGAGGAAAACTCCGTGTTGCCTAGACCACGTCCTTGCCCAACACAAGACTCATTTGCCCGGGATATTTCTCGCCTTTTACGAAACAAAAAAGTTCATTGCCTTTACATAATAATCGGATGATGTGTTACTACATTCAACTTTAAGAACTTAAATTAAGTATCTATACTGTGGCTTCCACCTGTCGTTTCACTGTCGCCATTTTATTATTATTTTGTGGATTAGAATTAAAGGTATAATTGTGTTTCAGTCTTCAATAGCACGATATAAAACTTCATTAAATTTATCAAATAATTCTAAAGTTATTAAAGGAGAGTTACAAGGGCGAAAATACAAATATTCAATAAATAAATCTGCAATGACAGAGACTACAAGATTGAATGTAGCATACCCTGAAAATAACGAAGGAGGAAACCTTGATTACTGGGTTATCAAGGCAAAGTATTTCATATAAATGCGCGGGACTAACAGTTGTTTTAAATCTTAAACGTATAAGCAAGAGAATCCTTCACACAGTTCAGTAATACGAATACCTATTTATTTCCATACAAAATCTCACTGGTTCGTTCTCGCCGTCAAACCGAGAGATAAATAAAGAATTCTCGCGAACTCCATGTTGCTGCTTTACAAAATAGCCCACAAAAACGAGATTATATCTGGAAAATTTAACGTATTCAAATTCTGTACGTCTATACTAAACATTATAAACGCACTAAATCAATAAGTTGTGTACCCGTAATTAGTATTTTACGGATGTTTATAAAACTCCAGTTAATCCCTTTGAAAGCCAGGCTAGTCTAAATAATATTTAAACATCCAGTTCTTATCGCATAATAAACACTTCACCATTAAAAACATCAGTTGCTTAATTCTGTTTAAGGAAATGACAACTGTTTACTTTAAGAATAATACGAAACCCACAGAAAACACTCTGTGCTCAAAATGCAGTTACTAAACGTTATTAAATGAGACGGTAAATACAGGACTAATTACCACTCAGCCTTAAAAGATTACAATTATGCATCTATGGCTGATGGATATTAGAAGAGTTAGGTTCTAGTGGGATATTCTATACTGAAGATGGCTGTCTTCTGGGTTGTTGAGTCGTGTAGTCTGGTAGAAGTTCACGGCGCAACAAACCAGAAGACAGCCATCTTTAAACTCACCGCCTTAAAAACCTCAAATGCTACATAATCTGTACTATCTGCTCACTCTTTTATTGAAAAAGTGTTATGGAATATGTAGACTTACGTCTACACGAAAAGAAGCTCTTACTCCGAGCCAGACCAGACGCTCAAGACCGCCACAATATAATTGTCCAACAAATTTCTAATTTACCAGCTCTCAGCATCCCATCATGCAAGCACACAGAAATCAGCGATGTGAGATTTGAGGTTTCCACGGCGGTGGAGATAATGTAGTTCTGGGTTTGGGTGTCCAAATGAATGATATCACCACAGAACAATGAGTTGTAAACAGACCATTCTCAGCGCTGAGGTTGCAGCCAAGTAAAATTCCATAGCAGGAATAATACCGTGCATTACACCATTTTATATTTACCCATTTTCATCGTCGTACCATTTACCGCCCACACAAAGCCGCACGCTGTTAAACCAACTCTTGTCAATGGCAAGGTTGCCTCATTAGTAGCTATCCTAAGAGGACCAATTCATTATCAGTTTATCTGTATATGATTTGAGGTTTTCCCAGCTGTGAGTATGAAGATTTCTGTTATATAATCTGTCTCAGAGTTGATATGTAATCAGCAGATCCACACTGGAACAGTTCGTTATAATAGGCCACGTTGGTCTGCAATATACCAATTCATCACCACTCTATCTTCCAGGACTTCGAAACAAACATTCCAGGTTTTCTATACATTTTACCTTTCTAATAGTAAATTACCGCCGCGGTGGTCTAGCGGTTAGAACGCTGGCCTTTTAATCCTGGGGTCTCGGGTTCGATTCCCGGCGGTGCCCGAATTTATAACTTGTGTTGGGCAAGGCCGTGGTCTAGGCAACACGGAGTTTTCCTCCGTGGCATCCCAACACTTACTCCATTCACACACAGAAGAAGGGAATGGCAAACCACTTCTGGATCATCTGCCAAGAACGTATATGAACAGGTCCCAGTCCGAGAAAAGGATGGAAGGATCCTGTTCATATGGACCTGTCGTCAAACAGAATAATAATAATAATAATAATAATAGTAAATTATATATAATTAACAGAAGAAGTTTGACGATTGTTCAAAGTTAATGCTTGCTTTGAAAATATTTCTTACAAAAATAAAGTTTAAAACTGAACTCCATGACATATTACAATTTTGTACGTAAAATATTTTTATTTTGTTCTTTAATATCTTTCCCCGATCCGTTTAGATATAACCCATTTCACAGGCATTCCTACACACAGCACCGTTTGTCGTGGTTCATATCAGAGTCTCCCACGTCTCCCAATGTATCATACCTCTGCCCCTCTCTAGGCTTCGTCACCAATCACCGTGTTCTCGGTGTTGCGCCTGTTTGCAGTCAACCCCGCCCAACAGGAGCCCGCCCCTGAATCTAAGAGCATCTCTCAGTGCGTCTCCACACACCGCCCTAGTAGCGTGCTCCCCGTCCAACCTACATGCAGCCATACATCTGGACAACTTCGTCCTCTGGTAGACATCTCAGCAAATAGACCCCTTCCACGTAGCACTCATCCTCAATGTCCCAAACCAAACACTACCCATCGACCCAGTCTTCGTTTTAGAATTCCAAGACGTTTCATTCTTCATCTCCTGTCCAGTGCATTTCGTACTGATTATTTCCTCTACATCCACGCTACTAAATTTCAGTACCATTTTCTCGTTCCATTGTCGGATCGCTAATTTTTCTGTTTAATTCGCCTCCTTGTCTCTGTCGCAAATCTGTCATCCCAACTCCATCTTAAGGCGCCGTCTCACTACCGCTGCTCGGCCGACAGTTTCCAATTAATTGTTGTAGAATAACTCCGCCAAAATTGAGCTACCGGCGCAACTCGACCTCCTTCTCGATCGCTTCCTTCTGAGCCCCTGCAAGTCGCTCAAAGCGAAGCTGCTGACAATGAGCTCTGGAGGTGGACTGGAACCTGCCAACTACAGGCTCACTAAGAACACAGCTCTCCTTACATACACCGGTGAGTTAATCGTCCTCTAACGGACTATACCTTCCTAATAGGATAATATAATTTTAGATATTTTTTTTTATTTGTAGTGTTCTGTCTGACGACAGGTCCATATATTATGAACAGGATCCTTCCAACCTCTTCAGGTTGTCAGGGACCTGCTCATACATATATACATTCTTGGCAGAGATGATCAGAAGTGGTTTGCCATTGCCTTCTTCTGTGTGTGAGTGGAGTAATTGTTGGGATGCCACGGAGAAACCGGGGAAGCCCCCGGAGGAAAACTCCGTG